AAAGAAGTGAGAGAGAGAACTACAGAAAACATAGATTTAGACTCGATTCCTTGCGTCCACGTTACTTATTCATTCATTCATCTATTAGGTGGTAGTTCTCGTTGGTGAGGATAAAGACTCGTTTGTTCATTCATTTGACAAATGTTAATCGAGCATTTACTTTGGTCGTGGAACTGGGGAACAAGCCAGTGCGAACAAGATAGTCTTGGTCACTATTCTTACACATTTGTAACTAGTATGGAAGACAGACATTAAAAAATACTATAAGTCAGATAAGTGCCATAAAAGGTGAAGCCCAGGGAGATCAAGGAGAGCCTAATGGGAGAACCTAACCTAACCTGGCATTACTCCTCCTCTCCAAATGATCCAGATGGTCAAGTTGACTGTGTATTTTAAATATATTTGCATCTATTACTATGTGTGAAGTTGAGCATCTTTTCATACACTTAAGGATCATTTGTATACTTTCTTCTATAAATTGTGTATTCATGTTTTTTCCCATTTTCCTGAGACTTTTTTAGCCTTTCTTTCTCTAGATTTTAAAAGTTCTTTACATGTTTGGGATATTGGTCTTTAATTAAGTATATACATTATAAATATTTTCCCAGTTTCATTTTTTTTTTTTTTTTTGAGACGGAGTCTTGCTCTCTCACCCAGGCTGGAGTGCAGTGGTGCGATTTCGGCTCACTGCAACCCCCGCCTCCTGGGTTCAAGTAATTCTTCTGCCTCAGCCTCCTGAGTAGCTGGGATTACAAAATTATCTGGCATGCACCACCACGCCCAGATAATTTTGTATTTTTTGTAGAGATGGGGTTTCTCTATGTTGGTCAGGCTGGTCTCAAACTCCTGACCTCAGGTGATCGGCCTGCCTCGGCCTCCCAAAGTGCTGAGATTACAGGTGCAAGCCACCATGTCCGGCCTTCATCATCTTTCTTTTGACTTTGCCTATCTAATTCTTGTCATGCAAAAAAAGGTTTTTACTTTAATTTTTATGTACTTGAAAATACTTATCATTTTATGGCATTTGGATTTGGAGTCATATTTAAAAGGCTTTGCCTACACACAGACTATAAAGAAATTAATCCATGCTTTCTTCTAGTACCTATATGGTTTTACTTTTTATATTTGGACCATCTAGTACCTATATGGTTTTATTTTTTATATTTTATATAATAAGCTTGGAGCTTATTCTAGGGTACAATGTGAAGTGTGGGACCAAATTACCTTTTTATCCAAATGGCTGTCCAGTTATGCCAATAACATTTATTTTAAAAGTCCATCTTGGCTGGCTGTGGTGGCTCACGCCTGTAATCCCAGCACTTTGGGAGGCCCAGGCGGGTGGATCACCTGAGGTCAGGAGTTTGAAACCAGCCTGGCCAACATGATGAAACCCTGTCTCTACTAAAAATATAAAAAATTAGCCAGGTGTGCTGGTGCATGCCTGTAATCCCAGCTACTGGGGAGGCTGAGGCAGAATTGCTTGAACCTGGGAGGCAGAGGTTGCAGTGAGTCGAGATCGCACCATAGCACTCCAGCCTGGGAGATAAGACTGAAACTCTGTCTCAAAAAATAAACAAATAAATAAAGTCCATCTTTGCCCCAGTAATTTGGGTATACCATGTTTATTATATATTATATATTCATATATATTTGGGTCTATTTCTGGACTTTCTGCTTTATTTTGTTGATCTGTCTATTCATACAGCAGTCCAATAATGGTAACAGGTTATAACACATTGATTAATTTTAAAAAAGAATTTGAAATGACCTATAAAAAGAAGGAGGTCAGCTTCCTTTACAGAAGAATAGATAGCTAATAAATGTGGAAGGAACAACAGAACTAGGAAAACATACTTTTGTGCCCACTATGTTAAAAACCGATTCAGATAGGGATCATAATGAATGCTAAAACTATCAGGTGAAAGTTGTTGGGGAACAGAACATGTACATGGTGATACTTTAAAGATATTAATTTAATATTAATTACAAAGGAGGAGAATGTGCCTTTACAATGGGGAAATCTGGATTACACTACCTTGGCCAAGTGATAAAACTTGGCAATAGGACAAATTGACATTGTATACCTATTGATGTGATGCAATGGAAACCAGCTATGTGGTATTCTTGCCAATAATGTTTAACCTGAATATATTCATGAGGGAACAATATGACAAATCCAAATTATAGGTCGTGATACAAGATAACTGGCCTAAAGTCTTCAAAATGAATATTTCATGAAAGATGAAAAGAAGTGGGAAACATCTATATGAAAGACTACTAGAGACATGACAAGTATATGAAGTTGTATGACATTTTATCTTGAATTTTGGATCCTTGATTTTTTTTAAAAAAGCTCTAAATGACATTATTGGGGGCAATCAGGAAGTTTGAATATGGGCTATGAATTAAATAATATTAGTCTGTCAATATTAACTTTCTCGGGTATGCTAACAAAATTGTGATTATGTAGGTAAACACCCTTGTTTTTAGGCAATACAGGCTGAAAATGTGTCTTGATATCTCCAACTTAATTTCAAATGGCTCATGAAATATGTCTGTGTATGTATGTATATATATATATGTGTGTGTGTGTGTGTGTGCTATATAGTGTTACATATATGTATACACACAGAGAGAGAACAAATGTGGCAAAATGTTAACAAGTGTTTAATCTTCATGAAGAGTATATGGGTTTTTTATTGTACTATCCTTTCAACTTTTATGAAGGTTTGACTTTTTTAAAATAAAAAGTTGCAGGATACAAAATCAATGTACAAAAATCATTAGCATTTCTATGTAATGGCCAATAATGAGCTAGCCATGAAAGAAAAGAAGGCAATTCCATTTACAATAGTTATGAAAATAAAATACGTAGGAACAATTTCAACCAAGGAGATGAAAGATCTCTGCAAGTAGTTGGGCATGGTGGCTCATGCCTGTAATCCCAGCACTTTGGGAGGCCAAGGTGGGTGGATCAGAGATCAGGAGATTGAAATCATTCTGGCTAACACAGTGAAACCCTGTCTCTACTAAAAGTACAAAAAAAAAAATTAGCCCGGTGTGGTGGCACCCACCTGTAGTCCCAGCTACTCAGGAGGCTGAGGCAGGAGAATCGCTTGAACCCAGGAGGTAGAGGTTGTGGTCAGCCATCATACCACTGGACTCTAGCCTGGGCAACAGAGCCAGACTCTGTCTCAAAAAAAAAAAAAAATCTCTACAAGGAAAACTAGAAAACACTGATAAAAGAAATTGAAGATGACATGGACAAATGAAAAAAAAATAATAAAACGCATGCTCATGGATTGGAAGAATTAATCTAGTTAAAATGACCACATTGTCCAAAGCTATCTATAGATTCAATACAATCCTTATCAAAATACCAACAAATTCTTCACAAAATTAGAAAAAAACCCTACAATTCATACAAAATGAAAAAAGAGACCAAATAGCCAAAGCAATCCTGAGCAAAAAGAAGAAAGCTGGAAGCATCACATTACCTGACTTCAAAACATATTGTAAGCCTATAGTAACCAAAACAGCATGATATTGGTATAAAAACAGACACATACACCAATGGAACAGAATAGAGAACCCAGAAATACAGCCACATACATAGCCAACTGATTTTTGACAAAGCCAACAAGAACTTACACTGGGGAAAGATACTTTCTTCAATAAACAGTGCTAGAAAAATCGGATAGTCACATACAGAATGAAATTGGACCCCTATCTCTTACCATATAAAAAAATTAACTCAAAATGGATTAAATATAAAACTTCAAACTATAAAAACACAAGAAAACCTGTGGAAAACTCTCCTAGACATTGATCTAGACAAATAATTTATGACTAAGACTTCAAAAGCACAGGCAACGAAAACAAAAATAGGCAAATTAAACTAAAAATCTTCTGCACAGCAAAGGAAATAATCAGTAGAGTGAAGAAACAACCTGTTGAATGTAAGAAAACATTTGTAAACTATTCATCTAACAGGGGCTTAATATCCAGAATATACCAAGAACTCAAATAACTCAACAGGAAAACAACAAACATTGCCACTAAAAAGCGAGAAAAGGACATGAATAGACATTTCTTAAAAGAAGACAAACAGCCAACAGGTATATGAAAAAATACTCAACATTGCTAATCATCAGATAAATGCAGCTCAAAACCACAGTGAGATCATCTTACCCCAGTCAGAATGGCTATTACTAAAAAGACAAAAAATAGGAGATGTTGCAGAGAAAAGGAACTCTTACACACTGTTGGTGAAAATGTAAACTAGTGTGGCCACTATGGAAAACAGTATGGAGATTTCTCAAAAAACTAAAAATAGAATTACCACTTGACCCAGCAATCCCATGTATCTACCCAAAGGAAAAGAAATCAATATATCAAAGGCATACCTGCACTCTTATGTTTACTCCAGCACTATTCACAATCACAAAGATATGGAATCAACCTAAATGTCCATCAACAGATGTATGAAAGAAAATGTGGTACATATACACAATGGAATACTATATGGTTATTAAAAAGAATGAAATCATGTCATTTGCAGCAACATCAATGGAACTGGAAGTCATTATCTTACATGAAATAAGCCAGGCACAAAAAAAAAAAAAATGTTGAATGTTCTCATTTATATGTGGAAGCTAAAAAACTTGATCATATGGAGATAGAGAGTGGACAAACAAATAACAGAGATTGGGAAGGGTGAGTGAGGGGCAGGGAGGAGGATGAAGAAAAATGGGTTAAAGGGCACAAACATACAGTAAGATAGAAGGAATAAATTCAGTATTTAATAGCACATTAGGCTGATTATACTTAAAAAAAATGTATTGTGCTTGGGTTATGAATACCCTAAATACTGACTTCATCACTACGCCTTATATACATGTAATAAAATTTCACATGTGCCCCATCAATTTGTGTAAAAAATTAAAAATTTTAAATTATGAACTTCCATTTTCTTTTTTTTAATTTTATTTTTAGTTTAGTCTCCGTAGAGAGTGTCAAAAATTACCAATGCCAACTATATTTCAAGCCATCACGGCGGGATATTGGGAAAATTTTCAATTAGCGATAACCACTCCTCAGATAAACCTCATCGGCTATGATGCTGCCACTGCAGAAGCCTGAACTTCCATTTCTTTAGAGTAAAAGAAACACAAAATTTTAAGTTTAACTTGGAAGTCACTATCAAACATGATAAATATGCATATCTTTTGACCTAGTAATTCCGCCTCTAGGAATTTATCTGACATATATTCAGTGTTATTCACTGCAACATTGTTAGATAATAGCAAAAGACTGTAAGCAATATACTTTCCTTCAGTGGGGGCTGGCAAAATGAAATAGAATAAAAAACAAAGAAGCTCTTTGTGGACTAATATGAAATCATTTCTAAGATACAGTGTTAGGTTAAAAAAAAAAAAAAAGGTAAGGTACATAACAATACCTATAGCATTGTATTTGATAGAATAAATGGCCCCAGTTCTTCCCCTCCCTAAGCCCATACACCCTGCAATGTCACTTTGCAGCTCCTTACATTCCTTGAATCTGGGCTAGCCTGTGGCTTGCTTTGATCAACAGAATAAGACAGTAGTTATGTTGTGCCAGAGCCAAGTCTAGGCCTCCAGGGGCCTTTTGTGCTTCTGTTCTTGTGGAATCCTGACACTATGATGAGAACAAGCCCAGACTAGACTGCTTGTGGGTAAGAGGCCTCATGGAGTAGAGCTGAACAATCCCAGCTGAAGCCATTCTAGACCAACCAATCCCCAACTGACCCATCAACTGACCAGCCAAGATGATCTGAGCCTGGCCCTGAATAGTAGCTACTCCCAGCTTACCCTTAGACTCATGAGAAAAAATGAATTATTGTTTTAAGCCACTTAGGTTTTTGAGGGGAAAAGGAGAGGGAGGTCATGTAGTAATCATGCATATTAATATGCTGCTGTTTGTGTAAATTTTCAGGAAAAAAAGAACATATAGATGCATTTGTTTACATATGCAAACTTTCTCTGTAAGGATGCATAAGAAACTGAAAACACAATTGCTCTGTGGGAAAGGAGCCATGGCAACTAGGGGATGAAAGTGGGAGGCCGACCTTTTGAATTCTGAAGCACATTAATGTATTGCCAGTGGATAGATGAATAAAACCTGTTCCTTTTTACGCAAATCTTTTCAGAACCCCCAAATCATCCCTGGCTGGGGATCAGTGGGAAGGGGAACTCTCAAACCCTATTGAGGAGATTATAAATTGGTAGAATCTTGATGGGGTGGTAGTATGGCTTTAAGCAATGCCTATAAAAATATGTAAATGTATATGCAATGTACACTCTATCTCTGTAAGAACCTGCCAGAAGCTGATAAAGCTGGTTGCTGCTGAGAAAGGATCTAAAGGGACTGGAAGTCAAGGGTAAGAGGAAAACTGACTTTTCTCTATATGTCTTTTTTATTTGCTGTTTAATTATTTTTTTACATTGAACTTTCTCTTTCCAAAAAGAAAACAATAAAATGCACATGTCCTCTGACCCAGCAATTTATCACTTCTAAGAGTCTCTCCTGAAAAAATACTTACAAAAGCAGATAAATTTAAATGTATAACATTTACTTATGTATACTAATAATTTATAAAGAACCTCAATGGCAATCAATTGAGGGTTATATTATGGAATGTTCATACAATTGCTAAAAATGAACCCATAAACCATCACCTATCTGAACGTAGAGCATTCAAGAACTTTTGCAGCGCCCTCTAATGCCCAGTTCCAGTCATTCACTCTATGAATGATCACAAATGGAATCAACCCCGCTAACCATCACCCAGGTCCACAGAGAACATTCCAGAACTCTTGAGGTGCCCCCGCAGTGCCTACTTCCAGTCATTCACTCTATGAATGCTGACAAAGTGAACCTAAGTAAACATCAGTCAGGTCACATAGAACATTCCAGAACTGTTGCGGCGCCCCCAAGTGACCACTTCCAGTCATTCACTCTATGAATGATCACAAACTGAATCAACCCAAGTAACCATCACCCAGCTCCACAGAGAACATTCCAGAACTCTTGAGCTCCCTACTGCCTACTTTCAGCCATTTACTCTCTAGGAATTATCACAAATGAATAAACCTATGTAACCATTACCCAGGTCTAGTTTGTGATAATTCATCAACCTGTACACTTTTTTGTATATACATTACACTTCAATAAAAAGTTGAAAATATGCATGTGCATCTATTACAAATATGTTTGCCTATGTATAGAAAAAGATAACTAGGGCTGGATACAGTGGCTCACGCCTGTAATCATAACACTTTTGGAGGCTGAGGTGGGTGGATCACGAGGTCAGGAGTTCAGGACCAGCCTGGCCAACATGGTGAAGCCCCATCTCTACTAAAAATAGAAAAATTAGCTGGGTGTGGTGGCAGGCACCTGTAATTCCAGCTACTCGGGAGGCTGAGGCAGGAGAATCACTTCAACCTGCGTGGCAGAGGTTGTGGTGAGCCGAGATCATGTCACTGCACTCCAGCCTGGGCAATAGAGTGAGAATCCGTCTCATGAAAAAAAAAAAAAGATAAAGACAATTTGGTATCAAAATCAAACTATTACAATATAGATGAAAAGGCTAGATGGGAGTATTTTTTTTTTACTTTGCATGCTTCTATGAGGTTTCAACTTTTTATAACAAGTTTTTCTCCTCCACAATTCAAAAACAAATAAAAATGAATAAAGATTAATAACAATAAAAAAATTAAACCACTGCTATAAGATGTTAATTTTGTCTCTGAGGAAGAAATATACATGATCAGGATTACGAATCCTAGAATTCTTGACCCCCCACCTACATCACCCACAGCCCCTCTTCCCCTCTTCCTCCCTGCATCCCACAGGTCTCCAAGGAGATGGATGCTTGGAGGGCAGATTCAAAAAAGCACTTCACCAGCTAGGGCTTTCACCCGACTACTTCAATAGTCATCAGCGGAACTAGACTAAAAATTCCTCTTGCCCAAAGAAGGCAGGCCTCAGTGATCCAGACTAGAAGCTTCTTTCTTTGAGTGCTACATGCTGATATTAGCTCTGGAGTTCTAACCACTTTTTTAAAAATCAGAAGAGATAAGTAAGGAAACCAGGCCTGAAGTTCTCTTTAGGCCCACTTTTCTCAGCCCCACCCAAGTTCACCCTAGAAGCTAAAGGAGAGAGGTTCCTCACAGGATAAGAAAAGTGCAAAATCAGCCGGGCGCGGTGGCTCACGCCTGTAATCCCAGCACTTTGGCCGAGGCGGATGGATCACCTGAGGTCAGGAGTTCGAGACCAGCCTGGCCAACATGGTGAAACCCAGTCTGTGCTAAAAATGCAAAAAAAAAAAAAAAAAAATTAGCCAGGCGTGGTGTCAGGCGCTTGTAATCCCAGCTACTCGGAGGCTAAGGCAGGAGAATTGCTTGAACCCGAGAGGTGGAGGTTGTGGTGAGCCGAGATCATGCCATTGCACTCCAGCCGGGGCAACAAAAAAGAAACTCCGTAAAAAAAAAAAAAAGATAAAAGTGCAGAATCCCAAAAAAGAGAAAATCTAAAAGGAATCCAGCAAGAGCATTCCACACAGATTCCACAGCTTCTAACTTCTTCATACAAACAGTTCCACACACTACTGTGACCCAATACTTTCCTGGATCGAAGTAATTATGTATATGTTAAGATTTGGGCCATATCTGGCTATGGATCATTCATACTATCATTTACTTAAGACATATTTAAATCAAGTCACTTTTCCTTTACCATACGACTTGCCAAATTTACTGTAATAAAAAGTTTCCTATCACTATCATAAATGGAACATCAGTATCACATACCACAAACAGAAGGTACATATTAGGTATATATTAATAAAGATTACCAAAGGGTGGCACTCCTTGCCAGACTCCTCGTGCAAGTTTTCCTCGGGAATGTCTGGAAGACAAGAAGCTTCACCCTCCTCCTAGAGGTGAAAGTGTGTGGTTAACATTTCCCAGAGATTTACTTTCAGCTCCTCCTATAGGTTCATTTCCTTGCGATTTTCTTTCAGCTTCTCCTATAGGTTAACACTCCCTGTGGTTTTCTTTCAGCTCCTGCTATAGGTAAGAGTGACTTTCTTTTACTCCCTCTATAGGTTATAGCGTGGGGTTACTTAGTTCAACAAAATTTTATTGAGTGACTATTCTATTTCAGATAGGATAGTGTGGGCTTACTTGGTTTAACAAAATTTTATTGAGTGACTGTTCTGTTTCAGATAGGATAGCGTGGGGTTACTTAGTTCAACAGAATTTTACTGAGTGACTGTTCTATTTCAGATAGGGTGCTAGCTGCTGAGGATACAGAAGGAGAAAATGGGAGAGTCTGTATTACGATTGAGCAAGGGTTGCGAAAGAAAAGAAGGGAAAAAAGGAAGTTGGCAGATACACTCCTTCTATCTGTACACATACACTCCTTGTCTCCATTCCTAAGTCCCCGCTTGTTTAAGCCACTGCAATTCAACTTTGGCTCCTTCAACCTAACAGTACAATAATGAGAGCCTCCAGAGGACCTTCTAATTTTCAGATCCAATGGGAAAATTTCAATCCTCATTTCAATTGACCCTGTAGAGCACACCCTCCTTAGGTTCACTGATATTGTTAGCTGCTTTGTCTAGGCCAGCCCTTCTTATCGTCAGTTGCCCTCTTAAATGCTGATGCTTGTAAGGATTTTGTCCCTAATCTTGTCTGGATGATCTCCCTGTTTACATCTACAGCCATAGCTTCCACCTACATGAGCTGAAGACTCCCAAATCCCCAAGGAACAAATGAGGGCTCTGTTTTCCTCTCCAGCTTCATCTCCTATATTAGCAAATTACTAGCATTTCTGTAATGGTGCTTTAGTCTCTTCTCGCCTGTATCTTTTTTTTTTTTTTTTTTTTTTTGGAGACAGAGTTTCACTCATGTTACCCAGGCTGGAATGCAATGGCGCGATCTCGGCTCACCGCAACCTCCGCCTCCTGGGTTCAGGCAATTCTCCTGCCTCAGCCTCCTGAGTAGCTGGGATTACAGGCACGCACCACCATGCCCAGCTAATTTTTTGTATTTTTAGTAGAGACGGGGTTTCACCATGTTGACCAGGATGGTCTCGATCTCTTGACCTCGTGATCCACTCGCCTCGGCCTCCCAAAGTGCTGGGATTACAGGCTTGAGCCAACGCGCCCGGCCCCTCGCCTGTATCTTATTGCCCTCTAACTAACTCCTTGACTCATGCCAAGTTTGCTCTTCAAGATTCAACATTAGTGTTCCCTGTTCTGGGAAGCATGGTGGGTGCTCTCCCTTGATGCTCCCCAACACACTCTATCAGTGCTTCCAGTAATCAGTGTACTTGACTATTGTGCTCTACTGCCCTCCTTGAAGGCATGATTTTTTCTTTTTTGAGACCAAGTCTCACTTTGTTGCCAAGGCTGGAGTGCAGTGGCACAATCTTGGCTCACTGCAACCTCTGCCTCTCAGGTTCAAGCAATTCTCCTACCTCAGCCTCCTGAGTAGCTGAGATTACAGGTACACGCCACCACACCCAGCTAATTTTTGTATCTTTAGTAGAGACGAGGTTTCACCATGTTGGCCATGCTGGTCTTGAACTCCTGACCTTAGGTAATCCATCTGCCTTGGCCTCCCAAAGTGCTGGGATTGCAGGCGTGAGCCACCGCGTCTGGCCAAAGGCATGAAATTAATCTGCATTTACAGTTCACAGCACAGGGCTCAATAAATATGTTAAATTGATGAATGTAAGAAAGTCCCAAGCTGTGAACAGTTAAGCACAGAAGATAAGGTTGAGGTGGTTGTGAACCAGGGATATTCAAAACTTGAGGACTTAGATTCTCTTTCTTTCCTTCCATCCAGGCAGCCAGGACTGGCAGGCCATCAGGGTCAGAGCCAAGGAGATGGATTGGGGCTGAGGAGGCAGCCAGGGTGGCCAGCTGGCAGGGTAGGAAATTGGTTACACACAGGAGCAAGGAGTAATTACACTGAGATAAACACTGGAATGAAACCTGTGGTATTGAATTGGAATCAGAGATATAGTTCGAACTCATAACAAACAAATATATATGTGTATATACATTTACATGGTGTATATATACACGTGTGTTTTTCTCTGTGCTCTGAGAAGGCCTTTAAACAATGATGCCCCAATAGCAATGATATACCCAATTCCCCACCTTGGTTTTTAAATATTATTCTCTATTAAAAGGAATCAAGAGGCTCCTTAGAGAAATGGCTGATCCCAGGGGCTGGGGCCAGGAAAAAATCTTTAATTAAAAAAATATATAGATAGAGGGTCTTGCTATGTTTCCGAGGCTGGTCTCAAACTCCTGGACTTAAGCGATCCTCTCGCCTCAGCCTCTCAAAATGCTGCGATTACAGGTGCAAGCTACTGTGCTCAGCTAATAGATGGCAGTTTTGTGTCAGTTAATTTTCTGATTTTGATAGTTGTAATGTGGTTATAGAATGTCTTCAAGAAATTTATGCTGAAGCATATAAGGGTAATGGGGTATCATAACGACAATTCATTCTCAGATGATTCAGAAAAAAATGTGTATGTGTGTATATATATATACATCCCCCCACACAGAGAGACACAGGGAGAGACAGAATGATAGTGCATATATGGAAGGAGGGAGACAGACAGACAAAGCAAATGTGGTTAAATGTTAACAACTGAGGAATCTGGGTGAAGGATATATAGGAGTTATTTGGGCTACACTTGCAACTTTTTTGTAAATTTGAAATTATCTCAAATTTTAAAATGTAAAGTTTTTTGTTTGTTTTTTGAGACAGAGTCTCGCTCTGTCGCCCAGGCTGGAGTGCAGTGGTGTGATCTCGGCTCACTGCAGCCTTTGTAGGTCAGGAGTTCAAGACCAGCCTGGCCAACAAGGTGAAACACCATCTCTACTAAAAATTACAAAAATTAAGCCAAGCTTGGTGGTGGGCACCTATAGTGCCAGCTACTCGGGAGGCTGAGGCAGGAAGAATTGCTTGAACCTGCGAGGTGGAGGTTGCAGTGAGCTCAGATCACGCCATTGCACTCCAGCCTAGGCAACAAGAGCAAAACTTTGTCTCAAAAAACAAAAAACAAAAACAAAAAAGCTGAAGATAAACTTGCTAATCTGAATCATGCATGAAAGGCTTTTTGCTGGTTTGCCCACCCTCATCTTGTTCTAAAAATGATTTATAGAGGCTTATCAATATGTAAAAAAATATAACAAGATAAATTGAAAATGAGGAAGAAAGATGTATGACACTGGCAAGAACCTTCTAAATTGTCAAATTCTACAAAATACTGTTGAAAATTTGATTATGTGGAGAGGTTTCACTTCGTTTTGGGAAAAGCCCCAACTTCAACACAGCTATTAGTTCTTTTGTGTTTCTGACAACCTTTTATTCAAAACTTGACCAGCAATTAGACACAGAGAATAAACTATTGGGATACAGAGGCAGAAAATAATTATTAATAAGAACAAAGAACAGACCTTTAAAACATTGCTAAATTTTATGCATGTATACATACTTTATTAAATTTGCATTCTAAGATATACACAAGGCCAGCAGTTCACAAAACTTCCTATTATTTCAAAAGCAGTAATCATGAAACAGTGATTATATAATTTAACCAAGCAAAAAAAATTATAGTTTTATCATCTCTTATACCTGTTTTCAAATAGAAGCCTGAAATATATGATATATATTAGAATAGGAAGAGAGAATTTTACTTTATAACAATCACTTTTCAAACATTAGACTTTATATAAAAATAAAGGGGTCTTATCAACAAAGTTCACCTGGGAGTTAGCCTATGTCTTTATTTTAAAACAATCCCTGCAAAAAACTTAATTTTCCAGTCCATTTAAACAAAAAATAACTAAAAATGAACCTTGGGTTAAATAATAAAGTGAATCATCTTGTCTCCTAGTTCTCATACCATTGGAACAATTTCCATTTCCCGACCTAATCCTACACCACTGAATTCCAAAAATTAATGTAAATACCATCATATTTCAGTTATTTCTTAATAGTGTTAAGTTCGAGCCTAAAAGTGATGGCCAAGTGTCCCTTTAAGGCAAAGAAGACAGTAGGTGGATCAATCTCCTGTAAGACAAAACTGTCTATTATCATTATAGAGGCAGAAACATTTTGACATGATCTTTTACAAACAGAATAGATACACTGCATACCATCAAAGAATTTTTTCTTTATAATGGCATACTAGGGGACAAGCTTCATAGTAGATATATTTATGTTAGGTTTGAAGAAGTAGGGACTTTTCCCAGATGAGAGCAATAAAAGAAATAAAGCCATTAATGGCTGTTACGGTTACAATTTAAAATAAAGGGCACATCGGCTGCTGTAACAGAACTACTGCACACTAAGTGATGCTCTCCTGTAATTGAAAGAGAATGGGTTTTCCTTCAAGCCATATGCTATTACTAGTCCGTGAGTGCCTTCAAAGCACATAATCTTCCTTTAAAATCCAAGGATCTTTGCCTTCAAAAGACACAAATGCAGTAGTTTTCATTTCTTACATTCACTTAAAAATGGAATAGTATGATTCCAGCAGGCAAATCTGCATATTAAATATAGACAATCCAACCACAATATCTGAACATTAAAAGAAATCTAGCATGACAGACATTTTACCTAGTTATAAAGAACATAACAGTTGATTACACTCAGATTTCTTAAACAGCTCACTCAGGAGTTTCCTCTCCTAAAAATTAAATAACGTATGGTACCTCACACTTACAGCATGTACACAGTTCATAGCTGAAACAGCTTCCTAAAAGCAGAATGCACGATCACATTGACTTTTTCAGCTCCTAAAAGCTTCTTTGTAGATATTAAACTGCCCTCACTATAAGGCAGTATGAACAAGAACTGGATTCTGAGTCTGGTGACAACACAATAACTAAAACACCATTCACCACATGACAAAACAAACAAATCTAATGACAAAAAGGAACCGGAAAAAAGCAGCAACAGAAACAGTATGTGGCAATCATATACATAAATCCCCTCTTCCACCATACCTTATGATATACATCCCTTATAGCACAACAATGTACCCCAAGGCACCTAAGGCCTCATAATTCCACCCGAGACACTGACAGCTCCATGGACGCTTTTGTACACAGTGCTTTGTGTGTAAATAACTATTCATTCATTTGTAGATGCTCCACACATCTGGTCAAGGCAGGAATTTCTTCTCCTTGATAACACCACCTAGAAATATCAACAATATTTTATATATTCCTTAGGGCAACAGGTTTGAGGAGAAATATATCAACTGTGGTACAAAGTCATAAAAACCTGTGGTGACTAATCCAGGCATCCTGTAAGTCTATTTACTTTCTCAGCACTAAAATCAATGCTCACTTCACACACCCCAACAGCAAAGAAGCAATAAGGGTAATGAAAGCGACTATGTATTTCTTCCCCTCTGTGAGAAATGGCGTAAGCAGCTCAAACAGGAAAGGGAAACAAAATAATGTACTTTAAGCTGATGCAGAAAAATAAAAATGAAATATAATCAAAAGCAATTTATATACTACCATGAAATAAAGAGAGAGAGATTGCAACTATGTAGTCAACAGAGAACAAAAAAAAATCTCTCAAGCAAGAGAATTTCTGATCAAATCTGTCATATCACTGCTGGGAAAAAGAATCATTCAAGATAATTCACATCAGTGCCTTCCTTAAATGTATAGACTCAAAATAGGTGTTCTCTGAGGCACTAAGAAAAAAAAATTCCTCTAAGTAATCAAAAATGAGCATTTGAGATTTAGTCACTAAATTCAAAATGAGATCAGCAAAACTAGGTATTAGTAAGGTCACCAGGCTTACAAAATTGAACTTTGGAGGAGACAGATGCCAAAGAGTAATAATAGCATCAGAATGGGTGAAATCTGTAAAACTTTAATCCTCATTATGGATCAAAGTTCTCTGCGTTCCCCACTGAACATTTTATGTAGGAAACAGCAGTTAAAACGCTGAATCAGAAATGCTTAAGTCACTTGGGTGAGAGATCATCCATCAAGATGAACGAGGAACATGAATTGGAGCATGCTACTGGAGACTCTGCGGTAGCGCTGCCTTTAGCCAGCGGGTCTGAGGATAAGCCACTGCTGCTACTACTGCCATCCAAAATATCTGAACTGAAGACAAAGCAAAAAGAATTATAAGCAAATGCAACTATCAGGGTAAACATAACATGCAACGACACAGTTTCAAGAGCTCACAAATCAGTATCACTTGTAAATAATAAAAAAGCATCAAAGCCACAGCAATGAACTACATAATATACTACATTATAAAGCCACAAAAATGCAAAGTAAGACTCTTCAAGGTCCTGTGTCATTTGAGTGTACCCCCTGGAGGCACCAGACTGTCCAACCTACAATAAACGTTCCTCTTGACATGCCATGGTTTTCGGGACGGAGTTCCTTCACTTCACTTCAGCTCAAGACATTTCTATCCTTATATTTATCTTTTTACCTTCCCATCAGACTTGGAGCAAGAGGAATGGTTATTTATTGAGGTAACCATACTTGGACTATCTGAGGTGTTCGATCAAGTACACTGCCTCATAGTTCCTCTACTCTAAACAAAGTCTTTCAACTCCCCTCGTGTTGATCACTTCCCTACTCCCAAAGGGCCTTCAATCCAAACACATTTTTAAAATGACTTCCCTCTCCCATTCTATGCCGTTTATAATTCCTTACACTGTTTCCTTTCTTCTTGCTTTCAAAACCCAAAGGTCTATTTCCAGAAGATTCCATTTCTTTGATCCCTTCAGTTATTCTCCAGTTAAGCTTCTAAAATGAATAATCTACACTCATGCTCTCAATACCCATAGTCTATTGCCTCTTTAATCCTGACAACTGGCTCTTGTTCCTACCCTTCCAGTAAAACTCCGGATCTGGACATCAAGAACCTCTATACCCAGTCCAGTGATTCCTTCCCTATCTGGCCCAGGGGCTTATTGTTCCCAGCCATCAACCTTGCCTGCATCATGAATCTGGCTCCATACTTCAGCAGGGAACGGAGAGCCTTTGCAGTCTGGCATCAAGCTGCCTTTCTGGCTTTGATTTCCATCAATCCAATAATAAGCTCTATGCTTTATATTTGCCCTCAATTCATTCACTTATTCTAATATTTACCAAGTGCCTGCCAGGTGCAGGAAGCACACTGGATGTTAGAAATACAATGGTTTTGGCCAGGCGTGGTGGCTCACACCTGTAATCCCAGCACTTTGGGAGACCGAGGAGGGTGGATCACCTGAGGTCGGGAGTTCAAGACAAGCCTGACCAACATGGAGAAACCCTGTCTGTACTAAAAATACAAAACGTTAGCCAGGCATGGTGGTGCATGCCTGTAATCCCAGCTACTCAGGATGCTGAGGTGGGAGAATTGCTTGAACCCGGGAGGCGGAGGTTGCGATGAGCCGAGATCGCACCACTGCACTCCAGCCTGGGCAAGAAAAGCAAAACTCCATTTCAAAAAAAAAAAAAAAAAAAAAAGAAAGAAAGGAAGAAATTCAATGGTGTTTAAGAGAGATGTGGTCCCAGCCCTCATTGAATTTACAGTATTGTGCAGCAGACAGACATTTAAATAACCATGCTAATAAACATATAATTATAATTTGTAATAAAAGTGATAAAGGAAAGATACAAGGGGCTATGAGAATTTATAAAATGGGTAACCTAATCTAATTTGGGGAATGAGAAAAGTTTCCCCAGAGATGATATTTGCTGTAATCTGAAGGATGAGCAGGCATTAACTAGTTAAGGTTTGGTAGGAAGCAAAGGTAGTTCTAGGAATCAAAAGCAGCCTACCGTGGCTGGGGTAGAGAGAGTGAAGAAAACACAGAGACAGACAAAGCGAGAGTGGTAATGGGCAGTTGTAGAATTTACACAGGCACTTTTTTTTTTTTTTTTGAGACGGAGTTTCGCTCTTGTTACCCAGGCTGGAGTGCAATGGCGTGATCTTGGCTCACCGCAACCTCCGCCTCCTGGGTTCAGGCAATTCTCCTGCCTCAGCCTCCTGAGTAGCTGGGATTACAGGCACACACCACCATGCCCAGCTAATTTTTTGTATTTTTAGTAGAGACGGGGTTTCACCATGCTGACCAGGATGGTCTCGATCTCTTGACCTGGTGATCCACCCGCCTCGGCCTCCCAAAGTGCTGGGATTACAGGCTTGAGCCACCGCGCCCGGCCCTACACAGGCACTTTTTATTTTTGAAAAGGAAAACAGCATTGAATTGGAGAAGGAATTACGAATCAGGAAATACGGGTTCTAGTTTAAGTTTGGTCACTAGCACCTTTGAAAAAGCCCGTCCTAGTCTAACATTTTCTGAATCGAAAGGTTATGAGTCTTTAATATTATCATTTTTCTGAATTTCCAAGTTAATGTATTTCCAGTGTTAAAAATAACCTATGGTACATTTGAAAGTTTCTGGGCCCTATACTACCCTCAATGAAATATATCACCCCCACCCCTTGCTTCTCTACTCTTTCTACTTTTCTTCAAAATGTCATTTCATTCTATTGCTTGTAGATTGTTTTTAGGTGGAGACAGAGTACGAATAGGCTTTGGAAAAGTAAAAATAAAAATGGAAACAGTATATTCCACACTACGCCTACTCTATGCTCACTGCTGTCAAATGCATCATTAATAATACCACTTTTAAGTAAGAACTTTGGAAAATTTAACTGGCTCTGATATTTTTTCAACCAAATGGCAAAATGGGTCTAAAATATGAATTACTCAAACTACTAAAAGAAAGTTGCACAGATAATCCAAGACATTGGAAAATCAAAAGACCTTTCTATTTGCCTTTGGAACATATGTGATTTTTCCTCCTGCAGCTTTTTGCCTAGACTAATATTAAAATGAATTTACTTTCCTAAAGCACATATTGGCTGGGCATCCGAAGGACACGCTCTATGCTACTTGGCAGGAACAAATGGGCTTAGATTAAAATTTGGCCAGCAAGCAGATAATCTGAATATAAATAAAGAATTCTTTATTCCATCCACCAGACTTACGATGAGCCCTGGGTTAAGAGACTCCATTTGTCATAAGACCTGCCTACTTCGGTGAATCCTATATTCATTCAAAAACACAAAACTCATGCAGTGTAATTTGACTTCTAACACTATTGATTACCTTAAGAGAAATAAACTAATGGAGGAGCAGAAAAAAAAAAAAAAAACCCTGAACATTTCATTTCAGAATGCCTTCCCTATTATTAAAATATAAATGTATATATTTGTGTTCATTAACAGAAAATAGCACACTTACATTTAGTCTCCACTGCAACTTAGATTCAGAACTTGGTAAATCTTTAACCAGACATTTTCACTAAATTAAAATCTAGTTTCCGTTTGAATTAATCTGGCACAATTACTCATGGTCATGGAAGCAGAGACTTCACATCACAAATCACTCAGTGTTATTCTATCCACGTCAAGTAAGACTTACGTGATTTTTTAACCCACAGAAACATCACTACACAAAAGTAATTTTTACAGAGTCTACTATTAAATCTTCTTCTAGAGCTTCTAAAAGCAAAGAGGTCTGGTCTAATTTGAGTTTCTCTCTTTCTTTCCTAGCTTAAGCTCTGATGGAAGTGCTAATGAGCCTTACTTAGACTAATGGCTGAAAGCCAGACAATAGCAAAAAAGGATCTAGACAATTCAAATTGGACATAGGAATCCCTGAGTCAAAACTGAACGAATTCGTTCCCGCCACTGAATATACATATTGGGGCCATATTTGAACCACACAACCAAAAGCACATATGACTTAAAGTAGTGTCCTATCTAGAAAAACTAAAGATGAAGTATGAGTGACTCATTAAAACAGTCCAATGATAAAGTAATAACACAAGTAGGATATCCAGTGTGATTCATGCTATCACCCCATCTGGGTGAGCCACTTTGTGTCTTGTCCAGTCAATAAGCGGGGCTCTATCAGATTAATGACGGGCAGGTAAATACACTAGAAATTAGTGACAGCCCTATCAAGCCTAGCAGAGATTTTGGTATAAGGTATGATGACAGGGCATCCGGACCCCACTTGCTGTGGGTTAAACCGATATATATGGCGTGTTCTCTCGTCTCTACTATCTTGCCTTTTGGGTCCCAGTGTTATCCTTCTGAATAACCTCTATGTTTTTAAGATCACATATTTAAATATCAGTCTGCAGTCATGCTGAGGACAGGAGTTTTTTTTTTTTTTTTTTTTTAACTTGCTCATTTTTATGATGGAAGTGGACAGGAGTTTTAAACTATCAGCACAGATGTCTAAGTTGCTCACATCAACATCTCTAAAGCATACTGTGTGTGTGCATATACATATACTTTAGAGATGAATGTGTATACATACACAGACATACACATTCCTATTAATTTATTAATGACTAAAACTTATTTTTTGTACCTGTCACATATTCATGGTGAAATTTTGACATGACACATATAACATTAAAAATAATGTTAGAGGCCAGGTGCAGTGACTCACACCTGTAATCCCAGCACTCTGGGGGGCCGAGGAGGGCGAATCACCTGAGGTCAGGAGTTCAAGGCTAGCCTGACCAACGTGGAGAAACCGCAACTCTACTAAAAATACAAAATTAGCCAGGCATGGTGGCACACGCCTGTAATCCCAGCTACTCAGGATGCTGAGGCAGGAGAGTAGCTTGAATTCGGGAGGTGGAGGTTGTGATGAGCTGAGATCACACCATTGCACTCCAGCGTGGTCAACATGTTAGAACCACTAAGACAAATTTAACAAAAAATGTGTTAAAACGATCACATTAACACTGATGCACAGAGTAAGAAAATTCATGAGAGAAGTTTTCCTTTCATGAAAAAGAAACAGACTATCACTTAATTGTCACTGTACGGCCAGCAGCCCGGAAAACTCCTTTATTTTATATAGTATGCTGCAGATACACAGTCTCACTCCCAACAGAATGAAGAGCAGATTAAGAGCTCCCAACATACAGAAAGAATCAAAGCACAGACAAAGGTAGACTTCTGAGTTACGCTCAAATTTTGATGTCCATAAGGACTAAATGCAAAATGACATAATTCCTGCCTTGTGGTTGATAATGTCCTCCAGATTTGGTTGGCAAAGATTTGAGAATTTTCATTTAGTAAAATGAATAAATAAATAAAAAGTATGCCTAACTGGATATAAACTCCAAATGGGTCCACACTCAAATCTCAAATTTAATTTATGCTTCAAAGATGTCAGCTTTTAAAGATTGTTATGTAACATATAAACTTTAAAGGCTGTAAAAGCCATCTCTCCTTTTGCTGGGTGGGGCAGGGAATAAACTATAAAGATTTAAATTATAAGATAACATCTACTAATGATCTGATCCTTTTACTGCTCTCTAAAAGATAGAGGCAGCTGTTTCTGTAGTTTCCTTAAAATAGCGATTAAAACCATCCAATGATAGAGTATCACGAAACTAAGATATTTGGTGTGATTCATGCTATCACCCCATCTGGCTGAACCACTTTGTGCCTTGTTCAGTCAGTAAACTCAGTTCTATCAGATTAACAGCAGGCAGGTAAATAAACAAAAAAATTAGCCACAGTCCTATCAAGCCTAGCACAGATTTCTTAGTTTTGTTATCAAGCAGACTGCCACCCGTGGTAGCAGAAACCAGAACACAGCTGGTTCCTATCTCTAGCCCCATTTCTAAAAATATGAATGTCTGGATCTGATTACTGAAACTGCATTAAAAAGACTGGGTGCGGTGGCTCACGCCTGTAATCCCAACAGTCTGGGAGGCCAAGGCATGTGGATCACTTGAACACAGGAGCTCAAGACCAGCCTAGCCAACACGGCAAAACTCCGTCTCTACAAAAACAAAAATTAGCTGGGTGTGATGGTGTGCACCTGTAGTCCCAGCTACTTGGGAGGCTGAGGTGGGTGGATGGCTTGAGGCCAGGAAGCAGAGGTTGCAGTGAGCCACGATCACACCACTGTACTCCAGTCTGGGCAACAGACCAGACAAGGAAAGGAAAAGGAAAGGAGAAAGAAAGAGAAGAAAGGTTTCCAGAAAAGCAGGATCCGGTTTTTTTTTTTTTTTTTTTTTTTTTGAGATGGAGTCTTGCTGCCACCCAGGCTGGATGGAGTGGAGTGGCAGGATCCTGGCTTACTGCAACCTCTGTGTCCCAGGTTCAAGCGATTCTCCAGCCTCAGCCTCCCGAGTAGCTGGGATTCCAGGTGCGTGCCACCACATCCAGCTAGTTTTTGTATTTTTAGTAGAGACGGGTTTCATCATGTTGCCCAGGATGGTTTTGAACTCCTGACTTCAAGTTATCCACCCACCTCAGCCTCCCAAAGTGCTGGGATTACAGGTGTGAGCCACCGCACCCAGCCAGGATCCAGGTTTTATATAAAAGGAACAAATCATATTTTAAAATCTCTTAATTATAGGCAAAAATGTCAGCATCATTAGTATACAAGGTGTCCCCAAAGTCTTAGCACAATTTTAAGCTTTAATAACCTCAGAAGTACAGATGCTGCAAGTTGACTAAAAACCTCAACTGGAAGTTAATTAATAACCTAACTATCTTTGACACTTAGTTTTGTGAATTTTGAGTAACAGATATTACTGTAGCCATACTTGGCTTGTTGACATTCTATGAGTGGCTATGAATAAAGCAAATGTCTCCTGTGTGAGGTAACAGCTTTTTATGTTTAAGAATCAAAACTTGGCTGGGCGCAGTGGCTCACGCCTATAATCCCAGCACTCTGAGAGCCAAAGTGGGTGGATGAAATCAGAAGTTCAAGACCAGCCTGGCCAACATGGAGAAACCTCGTATCTACTAAAAATACAGAAATTAGCCAGGCATGATGGCACATGCCTGTAATCCAAGCTACTCGGGAGGCTGAGACAGGAGAATCGCTTGAACCTGGAAGGGAGAGGTTGCAGTGAGTTGGGCCATTGCACTCTAGCCTGGGCAACAGAGCGAGACTCCATCTCAAAAAAAATAGAATAAAGTTTCCTTCATCACCAGTGTTGATGTTCCCAAGGCTCTCCTAGCCATTCATGGGTCTATGGAGTAGGGGAGTAGTGACAAGGAAATAGAAGCCTCACAATAGCCACTGCTAGAGATGAAATCATCTCTAGGTTTTGCTGCTCAGAGGAATAAATGTCTGGACAATGAGAGAAGACCCTTCTTAAATACTGCACCTTCTCTTTCCTTTCTTACTTATTTGCATGAACCTGTTTTATGGCATCCTGCACTGTGAGCCAAAGACAATATAAAAATAAGTCACCTTACCCTGTATGTTTTTAGCTTGGTAAAATGCTGTCGTATCTTTTACTTAACTTGGTCACTTGGTTAGTAACTAGGTAAGCAAACCTATTTATAGTCATGTGCCTATATTAAAACACACTTTACCATAAAAGTGATATGCACTTTCCACTAAGGATAGAGTTTCATCCAACAGTCCTCTTGACAAGCTTCAGAAGTTTTCTCTTTGCCATCATCTACATACCTGGAAAGGCACTCTGTACCAAAATTAGCACACTGAAGTAGTAAGGACAGACAGAGATGAGAGGAAAAAGAGACTGGGCTGAAAATAGCTAGAACAATCTAAAAGGCATCTGTCCCAAGGTTGGAACAGTACTGATCAACAAGACTAATAAACTAGAATAATCTGTGACTTCTTGGTCAATTAGAAGTACAGGTTATTTCACACGGAACAATGAATAAGTGATTCAGGAAGAAGGGATCGTCCATGCTTATACCTTATAAGTGGCTTACACACTTCTTCCATTTAGAGGGTATGATCTTGTTATTTTTAAACTGAATGACTTTGTGGGCTTTTTAAAAAGACCTTCAGCCCAGGCGCGGTGGCTCACACCTGTAATCCCAGCACTTTGGGAGGCCGAGGTAGATGGATCACCTGAGTTCAGGAGTTTGAGACCAGCCTGGCCAACATGGCGAAACCCTGTCTCCAATAAAAATACAAAAAAAATTAGCTTGGCATGATGGCCCATGACTGTAGTCCCAGCTAATCACGAGGCTGAGGCAGGAGAATCTCTTGAATCTAAGAGGCTGAGGCTGCAGTGAGCCAAGATCACACCAATGCACTCCAGACTGAGCAACAGAGCAAGCTTATCTCAAAACAACAACAAAAAAAGACCTTCATCCATAAAACTCAGGTAACAAAAAAATTCTGAAAAGCAGTACACAATTGATTACACAAGTATTAGTGAGTTGATCAGAACATACTGAAAGATTTCAAATTATTACCTGGTTACTGCTACTTATCCCTTCCCCTTCCTTCCAATATGTACATAAGCACTCAAGTGCTCAACTTCGGGTATTGGAAAAGAAGTTCACTTTCTCATGAAAACACTGAAGGCCCTTAAGTTAAAGATCTAAACAAGGATGAGTATGATTTTAAAAAACTTGTATGTGACTAGACTGTAGATTTTGTTATTATAAAAATCAAACCTTAGCATTGTGATGAAATATCTCATAATCTTCAAAACGATAACAATAGATAATGCTAATCAGAGAATACCATGCTTGCGAGAACACTGGTATCCTTTAAGTCTAAAGGACCTGATACAAAATGCAGGCAGAGCAGCTGCAATTAGTACACATTACCCACAGCCACCCAGAGACTCTTTCTCACACCAGCCAGCAGTTGACACTCTGCCACACCACTGGCAACTAATGACAGGCTGACCTAGCAGGAGCTGAGAAGGAAAGCAAAGGTGTCAGAAAGACACACACATTTCCAAACGAAGTACTCTTGACTTTTGAGTAATCTGTTTTTTCACATTATCCTCCATAGAGATTTCCCCTTCATGGGAGCGTGGATAAGAAGTTGAAAACATTTTAAATTATCCCAATATGCTTTCAATATGACTCTTTTAAAATGGATTATACTCTAATATCCTTTTCATTTTACTTCATTTGTTTACCATGAACTGAGATCAGACAGTTGCGCAGCCTCCGGAGACAGCATATTGGTAGTGCCTTGGAAGAGTCTCTTGGGCTGACTTTCTGTCTCCATTTCACCTAAAACAGAAAAAGATGCTGCTGCTATAAAATGATTTTACAAATACAGGCATAGTGCTAAAATGGGATGATCTTTGTTTAACCAAAGCTCAGAATACTTCTTCGAACCATTGCTTGAAAGCTATTTTCCCATGTGCTTTATATGAAAGAAACATGCTACCACATAAACTCGACCAAAAAAGCTCAGCAGCCCTAAAAAAACTTCACTCGTTATCCACAGTGTGCTATGTACATATTCAAATTAATAGGAAAGCAGAACACTGACTGCATCAGGCAAAATGAAGCAAGGCTAACCACAGCAGAGATAAAGAATTCCCAAACAGCTGAAACTCACAGTGAATATTTTATGCTAGATGGTTAGCAAGGCCTTTTTATATATTTTGATATCTGAACATTTCCTGAGATGCTATCAAATTGGTTAAAAAATATGTAGTCCGATGAGTAGTGTGTAAGTAAAAAGTTGCTTTCACACTATTTAGTGAAAATGAAGACTAAAAAGGTAAGTTTGAAAACACATCTGTAATCAAAAGCAAATCTTACTCAATTCACAAAACTGGTATTGTACCGACCATCTCAATCCTACAGATTTTCTCGGAATTGCTAATAGAAAAACTTTGCACCAACAGGGATAATGCTTAACATTTCGCTACCAGGAGTACAAAGAGTAAAACCCTAAGTTAGAATAAGCTCCTTTAAAAACAGGCTCTGATTTCATTTCAAACATGCACATTCCTTGGTTCTGAAGCTCTTCATCTGACCTTGAAAACGGAACGTTCAAAACAATTTAATTCATGAGCCTGTCTATACTCCAGTAGAAAATTAGTAACTTTGAACTTAAAAGTATACAAAATTCTTAGAATGAAAAAAGATCAAGCAAGAACAAATGCAACATTCACTTCGTCCATGTTATCAGTTAATTCATATTATCTTTCCTCTGGAACGATTCTGAAAAATGCTGAAAATCTGTAGAAGTTGGTTTTTTCGAAGCTTTAAAATGCAGCTTTTAAAAGTTGCTGTTGGGCTTTTGAGTTCACCTCGCTAGCAAAAGACTAAAGCCCTTTTGAGCAAAGAATTCCTCCATCTGGTGGTGTATTTCGGAATAGCTGTAAAACTAAACCACCATACTAATTCCTTCAACTTCCTGCAACAAATTTTAAGTTAATAACAACAATAACAGCTTTATTTCCAACTGTTATTTTCACTTACTAGCTACTGAGAACATTCCTAGGACTACAAATAACTCCCTACAAGATTAAGGGAAGACTGTTTATAAAATAGAACTTATACACTAAATACAAATACTGTCACCATATCAGTAACTATTTTCCAGAGCACACCATCTTTAATTTTAAGTTGTCTGAAATATAGCACTGTTGGAATCTGTATACGATCCGATGACTGGAAAGTTTTGAAAGCCACAAATACCTGTTCCCCTAACAGAAAAGTTAGTCTCTTTATTGGCCCTGAAGGTGATCTGCATAAAGAAATCACTTGCTGAATTGCTTTTAAAAGTTATTCTTGGACACACCTGTAATCCCAGCACTTAGGGAGGCCGAGGCAGGCAGATCACCTGAAGTCAGGAGTTCGAGACCATCCTGGCCAACATGGCAAAACCCCATCTCTACTAGAACTACAAAAATTAGCCGGGCATGGTGGTGCACACCTGTAATTCCAGCTATTCGAAAGGCTGAGGCAGGAGAAACGTTTGAACCCGGGAGGCAGAGGTTGCAGTGAGCCAAGATCACGCCACTGCACTCCAGCCTGGGTGACAGAGCAAGACTCCATCCCAATTTGAAAAGAAAAAAAAAACAACAAAGTTATTGTTATTAGCTGGGTGCAGTGGCTCACACCTGTAATCCCAATACTTTGGGAGGCTGAGGCAGGTTGATCACTTGAGGCCAGGAGTTCAAGACCAGCTTATCAATATGGCAAAACCCTGTCTTTACTAAAAATACAAAAATTAGCCAGGCATGGTAGCTCACTCCTATAATCCCACGTACTTAGGAGGCTGAGGCAGGAGAATTGCTTGAACCTGGGAGGCAGAGGTTGCAGTAGCTGAGATCCCACCACTGCACTCCAGCCTGGGTGACAGAGTGAGACCCTGCCTCAAAAAAAAAAAAAAGTTATTGTGAAGACTCTTTTTAACGACACCTGACAGTTGCAATCATATAGTCACATCCCCAGGAATGATGAGTAAACCCTGTGTGGCTGGCCGGGTGCAGTGGCTCATACCTATAATCCCAGCACTTTGGGAGGCCAAGATGGGTGGATCACATGAGATCAGGAGTTCAAGACTAGACTGGCCAACATGGTGAAATCCAGTCTCTACTAAAAATACAAAAAAATTAACCAGGTGTGGTGTGGGGACGGGCACCTGTTATTCCAGCTACTCGGTAGGCTGAGGCAGGAGAATTGTTTGAACCAGAAAGGTAGAGGTTGCAGTGAGACAAGATCACACCACTGCACTCCAGTCTGGGCAAGAGTGAAACTCGACAACAAAAAAAACCTGTGTTGCTTTTTTTTTTTTTTTTGAGACAGGGTCTCACTCTGTGGCCCAGGCTGCGATCTTGGCTCACTGCAACCTCTGCTTCCCAGGCTCAAGCAATTCTCCAGCCCCAGCCTCCTAAGTAGCTGTGACTACAGGCGTAAGCCACCAATGCCTGGTTAATTTTTGTATCTTTTGTAGAGATGGGGTTTTGCCCTTTCTCAACTCCTGAGCTCAATGCAATTCTTCCACCTCCGCCTCCTGAAGTGCTGTGATTACAGACCTGTATTGCCTTTTTAAAAACAGATGCCATCAGTGCCCTTCATAAGCATCTAACACTAGTGTTCATTGATGCTAAACTAAACTATTTGAGTCTACTGCTTTGTGGTTCAAAATAAGGTAACTGAGAGCATCCTGTTATATAAAAAAAAACTCTATAGAATTGAATATAAGGCAGTTCTTGCTTTGATGAGGCATAATTTGAAGGGGGGGTAAACCGCACCTTGTATTTGAATATACAGCACATTTATGGATATGTCTGCTATGGTATTAGCATATATTTCTGCAGTTGATAAACTATGCATCTCTTTCATATTCGGATCACTGAGTCAATTTTTGAATATATAATGATAATATGAATATATGAATAAAACTGTTATGAAGTATAAGAAAATATAAATGTATCAGATAACTCATTTACAAAATTAAGAATCAGTAGAGCAAATATTTGGAAGAATTCCCTAGAACACAAGAGAGCAATGCTGTTAGCTCATTTCAGACAGCAGTTCCAGTTGTTAATTCAGGCTTAGCTAGGTTTAAGACCAGAAGCATGATGCATATCTTTTTTCTTTTTCCCCCTCGGCTTTACTGAGATATAAATGACAAACAAAATTATATATTTAAGGTATACAATGTGATGACTCGATGTATGTACATACTGTGAAATGATGATTACAGTCAAGTTTTTTTTTTTTTTTTTTTTTTTTTTTTGAAGAGACAGTCTCACTCTGTTGCCCAGACTGCAGTGCAGTGGCACAATCTTGGCTCACTGCAACCTCTGCCTCCCAGGTTCAAGCGATTCTCCTGCCTCAGCCTCCTGAGTAGCTGGGATTACATGCACTTGCCACCACTCCCAGCTAATTTTTGTATTTTTAGTAGAGATGGGGTTTCGCCACATTAGCCAGGCTGGTCTCAAACTCCTGACCTGAGGTGATTCACCCTCCTTGGCCTCCCAAATTACTGGGATTACTACAGGCATGAACCACTGTCAAGCTTTTTTTTTTTTTTTTTTTTTTTTTGAGATGGAGTCTTGCTCTGTCACCCAGGCTGGTGTGCAGTGGCATGATCTCGGCTCACTGCAACCTCCGCCTCCCAGGTTCAAGCAATTCTCCTACCTCAGCCTCCCAAGTAGCTGAGACTACAGGTGCATGCCACCATGCCCGGCTAATATTTGTATTTTTAGTAGAGACAGGGTTTCACCATGTTAGCCAGGATGATCTCGATGATCTCCTGACTTCGTGATCCACCTGCCTCAGCCTCCCAAAGTGCTGGGATTACTGGCATGAGCCATTGCCCCCGGCCTACAGTCAAGTTTTTAGCATATCTTTTGCTTCTCTTAGTTACCTTTTGTATGTGTGTGGTAAGAACACTTAAGATCTGCTTTCTTACCAAATTTCAAGTATATCACACAATAGCATTAACTATAGTCACCATGCTGCTACATACCTTTTCTTTTAAGAGGACCAAGAGCGCTGGGTCTAATGCACTTGACCGGACTCTGACTTCTCCTGCTTTGATGAAAAAACAAACAGGATAATGTGAAGAACATCCAAGATGCAAGATAAAACAGCTGTCCAACCCAACAAGAATATAAATAAAATGGACAATAAACTGTATAAATAAAATTACTGAAATGGAAAATTCTTGTGGAATTGAGTAACTGAAATGCCAGTATATGATTTGACCCAGCATATGGCAACTTGGAATAATACGGCATTTTAAGCCATTTAAAATATTCTATATGACAAAATACCCACAACAATTTAAAGAAAAAAGATACTTTATTTAAAAAGTAATTTGGGGCCAAGCGTGGTGGCTCATGCCTATAATCCTAGCACTTTGGGAGGCCGAGGCAGGTGGATCATCTGAGGTCAGGAGTTTGAGACCAGCCTGACCAACATGACGAAACCCCATCTCTACTAAAAATACAAAATTAGCCAGACGTGGTGGCGCACGCCTGTAATCCCAGCTACTCGGGAGGCTGAGGCAGGAGAATCACTTGAACTTGGGAGGTTGCAATGAGCCAAGATCATGCCATAGCACTTCAGCCTGGGCAAAAGGAGCAAAACTCCGTCTCAAAAAAAAAAAAAAAAAGTAATTTGGATTTGACTGTGAACTTTAACATTTTTCCTTATTCTTAAAAAGGATGTATAATTGTGGGTGGGTAGGGGTGGGTGTGGGGTGTGTGTGTGTGTGTGTGTGTGTGTGTGTGTGTGTGTGTGTTTCCCCTCTAAATATAAATATAAATCAGCATTAAATCGCTTCCAGAAAACTCTGGTAATTTGTTAATGGTAGATTACAGGCAGTGGTATATGGGTGTTCACTGTGAAATTCTTTCAATTTTGATGTCTGAAAATTTCAGCGTGAAATATTGGGAAAAAAGATAATGTTTTTTTTTTATTTTGAGACAGAGTTTTTGCTCTGTTGCCCAGGCTGGAGTGCAATGGTGTGATCTTGGCTATGCAACCTCCGCCTCCTGGGTTCAAGCAATTCTCCTGCCTCAGGCTACCGAGTAGCTGGGATTACAGGCATGTGCCTCCACACCTGGCTAATTTTTGTATTTTTAGTAGAGATGGGGTTTCACCATGTTGGCAAGGCTGGTCTTGAAATATTGACCTCAGGTGATCCACCAGCCTCAGCCTTCCAAAGTGCTAGGATTACAGGCATGAGCCACCATGCCTGGCCACAAAAAGCTAATCTGAGAGATAAACGTAATGAGTGGCACGTCAGCCACATTTAAAATTCTAGTTTGCTTACCTTGAAAATCGTCTTGGACTGGGAACTGGACTTGGTGGCAATCCACTGCTGCTCACAAACATCTGTAAGGATGGGGAAAAGCATTGCTAGAAAAAACATATTCAATATTTAAATAGTTCTAGCACTCCTGTTTTCTTTCTTTTTTTTTTTTAGAGACAGAGTCTCTCTTTTGCTTAAGCTGGAGTACAGTGATGAGATCACAGCTCACTGCAGCCTCGAACTCCTGGGCTCAAGCCATCTTCCTGCCCTACCCTCTTGATTAACTAGGACTACAGGTGTGCGCCACCATGCCCAACTAATTTTTTGTATCTTTTTGTTTTTTTGTAGAGATAGAGTCTTGCCATGTTGCCCAGGCTGCTCTCGATCTCCTGAGCTGAAGTGATCCTCCCGCCTTGGCCTCCCAAAAGAGTTGGGATTACAAGTATGAGCCACCATACCAGGGCCCCAGTCATTATCAAAAGGTTCTTTTCAGAAGGACAGAAACAATATCCTTAGAATTGCTTAGCTGTCTGTGTATCTCATAACTAAATTGTGTGTGTGTGTGTGTGTGTGTGTGTGTGTGTGTATATATATGTATTTTTTTTTCCCCTCTAAATTACAGCCATAGATTTTCCTTCAAGGCATTGGATACCTTAAAAGCCGGTTGATTTGTGTGTGTTTTAGAGTAAACAGCTCAGTATGTGAAAGAGACTTAGTATCTTGTCAATTATCCTACCTTTCCAAATCCCCTGGTGGGCGAAGGTGCTGGAGAAACTGGAGTGAAGTCAATTCTCTTAGGAGAATATAATTTCTCCTGTTTGTCAAAGTCACTATCACTCTGTAAACATAAAGTGTCATCTCCTCATAATAAATTCAGCACATCACAGCTCCTATATACTACTACAACACACCCAGATTTTCCCAGGAAAAAGGTATAGACTCTAATATTCAGCTGGAAAAGCAGAGATCAAAAAACAAGTATCAATTTGGAAGTAGAAGGGGGCAGAAGTATACGAAAAAAATTAATGAAGCCAGTGAGCAACATAAAAGTTTCTAGAAAAGGAAAAACAAACAGCCATGAGCAAACTTTACCAGGCTCAAGCTCTCATCCCAAGATTGGCTTATCTGCATTGCCGATTGCATTTCCCTAAAATAAACAAAGGGAAGGGCCATCAGTGTTTACAAACAAGACACTTATTAGCAAAGGCCCTGCTCTTGTGAAGAACTAACCTTTCATGTGCAGTTTCTCTGTTCATCATATCCAGGCCTTCTTCCTGCAAAGACAAACATGTGCTAAAAAGGTAGGATCACTGACAAAATATTAACTCTTCCACACACTGTAATTTTAATCCACATAGTTCTCTGCTTCAAATAAAATACAAAGACTTTTCTACCTCATTTGCCATAATCACAGGACAGCAGAACATTCATGCCACTTGTATATTTTATCTGCATGCTCCAGAAGAATTATAATCTGTCTCCAACTAACCAGAGTTGCATCCTAACTCATTTTAATATCTAAATCTTCAAAATAAAAATGCAAAATTCAAAAAACTTCCAATCTGAGCTAGTAAGTAAAATTTACCCTTTTGATCTGATGCAATCTGCTACTAGGAATACGATTAGGTGAGGATGACAGCAACTGCAAAGAAAAAGTAAACATTTACTATTTTCTGAATCACAAAGCAGCAGTCTGCTGTCAGTACTGGTGTACAACCTCTTCCTAGGTAAGTTTTCATATTCTTCTTCGAAATTTAGCTCTTTAGATCACTGAACATTAATGCACTAGAGGCAGTACATTCAGTCTTCAAAAAGTACACCAGGTGTCCAACCTCAAAGCACCATCTGTTGCTAGACAGACACTGACATCAGCACTTTTCCCAAATGAATGTGAAGCTACGTAAATTTAGAGAAATAAAGACTTTGGGCCTTAGAAACATCCCTTATCCCACTTATCTAAAAGAAAGAACTATATGAGAAGGGAAAGAAAAAAAAACACCAATGCTATTAATTTTTATTACCAATGCAGCAATGGGGAAGACAGGCTAATAACTCTAGTATGTAATATTTTGTATATGATTGATGTTTTTCAAAAACACTTTAAAACTGCAATGAGGAGATTTGGCTTACATGATCCAAATCCATTCTAAAACCTGATCACATGCTATCACTACAAACCTTACTAGTTAAAAACAACAATCTGGAAAGATGAGGTCTATCTTTAAAATAACTGATGCTTTCCCTTAGATCATCATTTTTTTAGTAACACAAAGCAGAAAAGATTTGGGGGCCAAATTACGTTCCTTCACAACAATTACGAGCTGGTCACAAACTATAAGACACAATTTATATCAACAGGTCTTAGAGAATTCTAGCGGTCATAATATTAACAACTACTATTTATTCTATAATGAAATGCAAATGAACTTGTAATATTATAAAATCAAATAACAATTATCCTGTTTAAGAGGCCCTATACTATTAAAACTTTTTTGAATACTAATGTAGTGAACAGTATAAAATGGTGATAAAATGCACTAAGTTTCTTTAGGCAAAGGCTAATTCAGATAAAATTTGTAAATTATCCACTAAAATATGACTATCACAAAAGATAACCATTCATCACCCACCCCTTTTACTTTTTCCTCTATCAGGCTTTGAAAAGGGAAAATCTTTAGCAGTAAAATCCATTTTCAAGTAGTTTTTCTATTATGGAAATAATACATGTTTACTGGTGAAGTAGTTTTTCTATTATGGAAATAATACATGTTTACTGGTGAACTTTTTTTTTTTTTCTTTAAAGACGAAGTCTTGCTCTGTTGCCAGGCTGGAGTGCAGTGGTGCAATCTTGGCTCACTGCAACCTCCACCTCCTGCGTTCAAGCAATTCCCCTGCCTCAGCCTCCCGAGTAGCTGGGACTGCAGGCATGTGCCACTAGGGCTGCTAATTTTTTGTATTTTAGTAGAGACGGGGTTTTGCCATGTTGGCCAGGATGGTCTTGATCTCTTGACTTTGTGATCCACCCGCCTCAGCCTCCCAAAGTACTGGGATTACAGGTGTGAGCCAACTCGTGCAGCCACAAGAACAGTTTTTTAATGGATTGTGCTTGAAGCACCATGATTACAAACTGGCAAGAAATGAGGAGACAAGGAAATAGAGGCAGTGGAGTGCAGATTATGCTTTGAAAGAGCTTGGAGAAAGGAACGGGGAAGGAGAGACCTTCGAAAAAGAAAACAGTTTGTTTTTCCCCATCAGATGTGTGAGTCTGGAGAAGGTGGAAAGAAGAGAGCCCGTGAAAAATAGGGAAAAGATACAAGATAGAGAGGAGATGATAGACCGAGCAAAGCAACAGGAGAGTCAAAAGCATATGTAGTAGGAGTAGAGAATTTGAGAGGATTGGTAGTTTGAAAAAAAGAAGATGAATTCTTTGGGACATATTGGATTTACGGTGCCCCTGGCCCCATGATATTAGGGAGAAATGCCATATGTGAAGGTAAAGGTATTTCAAGGCAAAGAAAGCTGACATTTACACAAGATGGGTGCCTGTCTTCTTTGTGAAGTAAGAAGGGTCATCTGCTCAACTTACAAAGTAAAGTGGTGACACTGGAAGCTGATAAAATCTTAAAAAACAAGATTGAGAATATTGCTTTGAAGAATATCATGGGGCCAGGGGCAAGTAAAATCCAATATGTCCCAAGGAATTCATTTTCTTCCCCCTGAAACTACCAATTCTCTCAATTTCTCTACTCCTTCTAAAGGCAGCACCAACCCCGTGTTCACCAACATAAAAATTTCCATCACTTGGAATCTTCCTTCTCCTAGCCCTTATATCTAATCAGCTGATGAGCCATGAAGATCCTATGTCTGCATATGCAGTCCACTTCATCTGTCAACACCTTATTCATCACAGGTTACTATGGGACACAGATAAGCATATTAAGATTTATAGCGCATACTGTGATAGAGTGTATACAATGTAATTAATATTATGATAGTTGTGGAAACCTGCCCTGAGGAGATATAAGGATTACACTGAGTTTTGAGAGACCAAAAAGCTAGAAAGGAGAGGGGCAGGAATGAAAAGATTCATCAGGATCCACAAAGAGCAGTGAGTCACCATGGCCCTTTCAGAAAACTAGATATTTCAGTGAGAGATGAACCTGGACTATGGCTGATAAAAATCTTCTCATCTTACAAAAGAGGTAGGTGAGGTGTAGAAAGGCAAATTCACTTTCCCTTCTTTGCTATGCTACTGTTATCAGGAGCATGGCTGTATAACATGTATAAAGATTTTTCATATATCCGGCAAAAATCAGCAATATTTTCCAGTATCCTCAGAGAAGGAGGTGAAGTGAATCAAACCTCCAGATAGCAAACATTTCCCCCGTAAGTATTTTTAGCTGTTTCAGTTGGAAATCTTTCTAAAATATGTTCTATTTTTCCCTTTCTTCAACAAATTATACCTATCAGAATGGCACTGGGAGATCTCTATTCTAATCCTAGTTCTGCCATTTACTAATTGTGTGATTCTGAGCAAGTCACTTACATCGTCTTGAGTTTTAGCTGCTGCTGCTTTTAACTGGGAAAAATATCTTTGCCCTCCCTATTTCACAGGGGTTGTTATGACAATTAAATGAGTGAAAGTACTTTGTAATATGTAAAATATAAGTGTAGGTATTACTAGAATTTATGAATAAGTTAGTGACCCAGGTATCCTTAAGAACATTATTATATGATTCTACACCAGTGACATGCTTGGGGTGTACTAACAGGCTCTTAGCCTTTATAGTAATTAGCCACAAACTAATTTTTTAAAAACCTCTGTTTTTCCATGTTTCCCTCTCCTCCCTTGCTAGCAGCTATTAGTATACTTTTAACCAAAATGCATCTCTTCTAATTTGCTGCTTCTCACACACTATTGGATTGGAAGCTTATTATAATTGTGCATACATTTTAGATGATTCAGAGGTCAGAGGCTCTCCTATAAATAAACCGATGAACCTCTGTGCACAGACTATGGAAATCTAGTTCTGCCATTTAGGGATCTGTCTTCTTACATCTCAGATGTCTTCCAGAGAATTGAAGCTGCTGGATAAGTGAGGTCTACATGTGAACTGCTACTATATATATATACAAAAAAACAAAAACCTCGTCATAATTTCTCCCAATGCGACCAACTAATAAAGCAATCCCTGACAGCTCTGGCTAGAGATCGGTCACAATCAATAACTCTTCAGAGAATATAAATACGAGCATTTTAAAGGAGTCTTCGTTTCGGAAAACCAGCATTGTTTAACAGGTTAAGTGTCAGCCACAAACACTTTGCTGCCTTTCAAGTGATTTGTGTATCCTAGGACAAATGAAGACCACTGTTCTCAGCTATAATTAGGAGTTCATCCTGACTTACCTCACAAGCATGATGCAAATAGTGACAAATAACAATGAACCATTTTTAAAAAAATACAAAATCCCACAGCAAAGAAAAATGTTTAACCATGTATCCTTTTTGGACCAAAGCTGAAAGGCCACAGCATAAGCAGTAAACAAGATAGGTAAAAATCAATCTTTTCTTTCCTAAACGATTGTGCATAGCACATCATTTTAAGAAAGAACTACATTTCTAAGTATTTTCCTCAATCTAAATCACATTAGATACTTACTTCTATACTTACCAAGCTGTGACTGCTCATAATCGTTGTACTATTCCTCCGAGTTCTCGTGTAAGGTTGAAAAACCTGTGAAAGGTCACTGAAAAAAAAAAAAACAAAATTAGTAATATATTCTAAGGGAAGATCTCTTTCAGATACATTAGCATCAGTTCTCTAGTTAACAACGAAATCTTCCATGGCTCCTCGTTTCATACAGAGAATGAACTCCTCACCGTCCTCTCTGCAGAGCTTCCCAAGTGGTATGCTGTGGATTACAGGTTTGCAGAGATACTGATCTCAGTGGTCGGGGGGCAGCTGGGAGAGGTGGTGCAGGCGGAGCTCCAAACTGGTTGACTCTAGCTGCTTCTGATCAGAGCTACGCCCCCAAACCGGTTACCACCAGACCTGAGCAGCCTCATCTGTTTACCCTAAAGGACCAATGAGTTCTGTTTTCTGTGTATGCCATGACACGAAAATGGGTGAGGAGCACTGTTCTACAATACGAGGTGGATCAAGACATCGCCCCCTCTCACCTAAACATGGGTCTTACCTTTGAACCCTGCTGTTCGACTGAATAAACATACCTGAGGTCATTGCCCCTTCTGCCTCAAATGCTGTCCCTCCTGCCACCATCTAATAAAATCCTTCCTCTCCTTCCATATCCATCTTGAATGCCATGCCCTCCAGTGAAGACATGGCATAAACCTCTCTTCATTCCACAAACAGAATGCAATCACTCCCTTCTTTGAACCCAAAAAGTACACTGGGAGATGAGATGCTTCTTGAGACACCTACTTTGTCTCTTAATAAAGAGAAATGTGCATGTGTCTTAAACCCATTGCTACAGAGGTGTTTTATTCATCTTTGTATAATATCCCTGCAGTGCCTAGCCGAGGGCAATGCCCACAATAAGGATGAGAGTTCAAGAAAGATTTTCAGAACTGAACTGCACTGGGCTTCCAGAGCCCACTGAGATCACCTATTTCAGCTCTCTTGATTTCCAAATGAGAAAACAGACTCAGAAAGGTTAAATGACTCATTCGTGATCATAGCTAGTCAGTGAAAACTGGGACCAGGCCTGGTATCCTCGCTCCTTCTTGTGTCACATCATGCTATGTTTTCAGTGATTACTTAAATCATGATTCAAAAAACAGCATGTTTTTGCTATAATAGTCTAAGTCCTGGTCAACAGAATCGCTGAAGTCCCTAGCAATTGCTTGCTTACCACATTTCAAAATACAACCAGAAAAAGACCAGTTTATTGTTATAGTAACAAAATAAATGCAGGGCCAAGGACAGCAACAGAAAAGCAAAAAGTCACTGCTACATTCCCTCAGTTTCAAAATTATTATTTCATAAATGAAAAAGTCAACGTTTTTTCCCCAAAATATGGATGTTGTAATCAGTTCAACAGCAAGGATTATCTCTTTCTTTGCTTTCACTGTGCTTGATTAATATGTTTTTGGCTAATTGTACTCTCATCTCCTTTTTTGGATTAATGCCATTTCTACAGGGTCTCGAAAATTGGCTTTCTACCTAAGATGAATTGTCTACTTACAAAAGTAAAATACAATCGGCTCAGGAGGTGAGCCAACCTAACCTTCACTATTACAAGATGCTACCTTAAAATAGACCCTCGGTGATTTATTCATATGAAAACACAAGACTCTACCACTGAAATTCAAGAGTTGATTCTCTTCATTGTTTTCTAAAACCTGTCTTTTCACTGACCCTAAGCTACAGACCACCCTCTCTTTTTTTTAATTCACTGCAATGCATTTCAGGCAGTTGTAGAACCTGAAAACATCAGGGCAAATCCAAATCGCATACTATGATGTGAATATATCACTTAATTACAATTTATTAGATAAACTGTGATTTATTAAAGTAAACCTCTGTTCATGTCAGGATTCCTAAACTAAGCTTAGAAATAGCTCTGAGAGACAGGTGTCAAGTTGCACGTCTAGTTCCAGGGGCTTCCGTCTGACATTCCCTGGTGTAAGTTAGTCAAGGCAAGCAACCTGTCAGAAGAGCCAGAAGCTTTCTGCAGTTCCTTTTTCCAGTGGGACAACACGGCCCCAGGTAGAGGGAGGCTGTTTCCTCCACAATGCCCAAAGTTGGAGGTCAAACTTTCACTCCACCCTGGGACCCGTCACCGTCAAGCAAAGAAATCGCCACCCTCTCAGGTTGAAGAGCCCAAATGAGCGCGAACGTGCACTTTAGAGAAGGAAGATTGCTTGCACGAGGGCAAGGAGCCCCTGAACCCTGTATTCCATCCTCCCCAACCCTGCTCACCTGAGTCCATGGATTAGGGGAGCACTGCTGGATCTCCTCAGGGTTCCCCCATCAGCTGTGTTAGGCTCAAAGTCCAGCTCCATTTTCTCCTGAGCCATGTCAGACTTGCAGGCAGGCACAGCGGGCAGTGCTCAGCTCCTGGTGCTTAGCTATGGACTCCCAAGACTCTCACTGCAGGACTGAGCTGCTGGGGACTGGCAGCTGGGGGCGGGGGCTAAGGGGCGGGGGCTGGGGGGGGGGGGGGGGGCTGGGGGCGGAGAAAAGTAGGAGAGGAGGAGGAGGAGGGAAGGAGGATGCTGATGAGGAAAGGGAGGATGATGGTGAGGCAGGGGAGGAGGACGGAGAGGTAGTGGTGGAAGGCGACAGAATGAAGGAAAAGGATGGAGGAAAGAGGAGGATGGAGGGGGAACAAGGATGGAGGGAGGAGAGAAGAGGGAGGGAAAAGATAGATGGAAAAGCAGAAGGACAGAGAGGATAAGAGGAGAAGGGCAGAGGGGGGAAAGGGAAGGGAAGGGGTGAGGGAAGGAAGGGGGCGGGGGAGGGAAGGGAAGGAAGAGGGCAGAGGGGAGGGAGGAGGACAGAGGAAAGGGGAAAGAGGAGCGCAGGGGCAGAAGGAGGAGGTCGGGGGAAAGGAGAGAGGAAGGAGAAGGACAGAGGGAGAGGAGGTGGGGGAGGAAACTAGGCAGCGGCGGAACTCATGCTGCTATCTTTCCGGCTGAGGACCAGGAGCGGGGCCCGGCTACAGACGCTGCGGCTGCCCGGGCAGCGATAGCACCGAAGACCTGACAGTCGGGTGGGACCCGGCCAGGCGGCCTTGGCGGCTCCAGCTCCCCATGCTCGGGGACCCGGTCCAGCCCCCCATGCTCCCGGACCCTGTCCCGGAGGCTCCTCAGCCCTGGGGTCTGTGCTTCTCCCCTCCCTGCCCCCCTCCCGCCTCGAGGACAGGTTGGGGGTTCGGCCTCTCAGCCGCCGCCGCGGTGCCTCCTCTTCCTGTCTCGGGTTCTAAAGGTCTAGGGGAACTAGTTGGGGCTAAGACCGAAATCTACAACCTGCAGTATTTTCCGCCTCCCACGCTTCAGAAGCGGGAACCTCCGCGGGGCCAGTTCTTCCGCGTCCGGGCACCCATCGGGTCCTGCGCACGCGTCCAGCGGCCACTCCAATGGGCCCGCGGGCACCGAGCGTGCGTGGGAGCCCCGCCTCGAAATCCGCCTCCAAAGGGGAGGAGCGTTTCCAGGGGGCCCGTCGTGTTCCTCTACGGCATTGGTCTGGGGACCCTGGCGCCCAATTTTGAAAAGAACCAATAGTTTGGAAAAGCTGGAGCATCAGCTTTCAGAGTTTGGGCCAATATTCATGGGAAATACACAAAAACATGGGGTTTCCACGTTATTTCACTCCCAATGTGTACGCTCCGACCTCTGTCATCCCCACTCATGCCCTAAATCCCTCGATTTTGTTAGTCTGTGTCTGGAGAAACTGATTTCTTTTTCAGATCATCCATTTGGATGCTCTAGACAAAAGAGAAGTGGGAAAACAAAAGCAATGGATAAAAATAAAGCGGGCATCATGAGATTTCGTGTAGCTAATGAGAAACTCAGCTCCATTTTGCAAGCACCTTTAGCTTCAACAAAAATGGGAAAAGTCCTGAAGAACAGGTAGCAAACAGAACCAAATGTTTTTTCTTACTAGGAATGACGGAATCCCTGACAATCATGACTCAGAGTGTCAGATTTGGATTTCTTTTCATTCCTTTCTCTTTTCTTCTTTTTTGAGACAGAAGCTGGCTCTGTCACTCAGGCTGGAGGGCAGTGGCCCGATCTCAGCTCACTGCAACCTCCACGCCCTGGCTGGCATTCAAGTGATTCTCCTGCCTCAGCCTCCCGAGTAGCTGGGATTACCGGTGCCCACCACCCACCACCATGCCTGGCTAATTTTTTGTATTTTTAGTAGAGACGTGGTTTTGCCTTGTTGGCTAGGCTTGGTCTCCAACTCCTGACCTCAGGTGATCTGCCTCCTCGGCCTCCCAAAGTGCTGGGACTACACGTGTGAGCCACTGCGCCCAGACGAGATTTGGATTTTGTATTTCACAAACACCCACATAGCACTTGTTATGTGCTAGGAACTATTCTAAGAGTTTTAGAAATATTAACTCTGTCCAGGGTGTGACTGGCCAGTGGTGCAGGCGCTAAAGAAATATACCAAGACAGTCATAGATAATGGAAGGCAGATTTATTAGAGAAGATATGAAAATGCGTTGCAAGGATGCAGTGGGCAGCACCGCAATGGAGGAGCTGTCTGCAAAGAGGCAGGGGCTGGAGGGAAGTTTTATAGGGTCATGCTGGAGGGTGGTAGGTGCAGAAAGAGGTTATGCTGCTGGAGCCATTGTACGGAATGTGTGCCGTTTGTATTCATTGTTCTTCCCCACCTGGGGCCCACCTCGCCCTTCTCATTCTTGCTTACTTCTAAGGACTCCACATCCACCCCCACAACACCCGTCAGAACAACAATGACAAATCTTTGGCATTAGGGCTGAGGTCTCATCTTCCAACTTCTTCCTGCTGACCAGGGTGTAGAGTTGACCCTACCTATGGTTGATGGTCTGTCAGAAGACCCCATGGGTCATTGTCCCAGATTGTGGGACATAGAATGTTGAATCTTGCTGGAGGAAAGGACTCATCACAGAGTGGGAGTGTGTTAAGGCAAAACTGGTGACCAGCTGAATCCCGGGGACTCTCATAAAGGCAGCAGGCGTCACTGGGGAGAGATTGATATCCCATTCACAGCATCATGTGAAAGTGAAACTGCTGAATTCTAGAAGATAAAAGTTTGTTTCTTAAGCCAGCTATTGGGTGGGGGGCGGCACAACCATTTGCAGTGTGACTGTTTTTCCTTATTGGAAGCCCATTTAGATAGCTTGAAAGTTAAACTTGGTGAAAAAGTGTTTAAATTTAATTAGACACAATAGGAGTGTATCCAGGGTTATGAATATAGCAAGCAAATACATGACTCTTAGGAAGAGCATGAAAAGTTTTTTTTATTACATTGAGAATTTAGACTTTTTTTGAGAAAGAGTCTTGTTGTGTCACCCAGGCTAGAGTGCAGTGGCTTGATCTCGGTTCACTGCAATCTCTGCCTCCTGGGTTCAAGCGATTCTCCTGCCTCAGCCTCCTGAGTAGCTGGGACTACAGGCACCCGCCACCAAGCCCGGCTAACTTTTTTGTATTTTTAGTAGAGATGGGTTTTTGCCATATTAGTCAGGCTGGTCTGAAACTCTTGACCGTGATCTGCCCACCTCAGCCTCCCAAATTGCTGGGATAACAGGTGTGAGCCACCGTGCCCAGCCGAGAATTTAGACATATTTTTAAAAGCCAAGGGTACAGAATTAAGTTATATTAGAGGAAAACATTGCTTAATTCTTTTTGATTTTCAAGATGAAATATTTCAGCATTAGGCCATAATAACAGAACTGGAGGAAGAAGTTATAGGAACTGACAAAAAATGAAGGAGAGTTATTATCTTTAGCCTTCTCCAGGGGAGAAAAAGCTGAAAGCAGCAGGCACAGAGAAAGTTGAACTGAGGTATTATTCTGTGAAGCTTTAACTTCTTAAAATTTTATTAAGAGCACATTAATACCTTAAGAAAAGCCGTGTTGGTTCAGGCCTATAATCCCAGCACTTTGAGAGGCCAAGGCAGGCAGATCACCATGTCTAGAGTAGACACCATCCTGGTAACATGATGAAACCCCGTCTCTACTAAAAATACAAAAATTAGCCGAGTGTGCTGGTGCACACCTGTAGTCCTAGCTACTTGGGAGGCTGAGGCAGGAGAATGGCTTGAACCCAGGAAGCAGAGATTGCACTGAGCTGAGATCACCCCACTGCACTCCAGCCTGGCAACAGAGCAAGACTCCGTCAAAGAAAAGAAAAGAAAAGAAAAAAGAGAAGAGAAGAGAGAAAAGAGAAAAGAAAGAAAGAAGAAAGGAAGAACGAAAGAAAGAAAGAAAGAAAGAAAGAAAGAAAGAAAGAAAGAAAGAAAGAAAACCTTGTTTTTAACACAGGTAACCAATGTTAGACTATTCTAAATAATTCCCTTTCAATTATAACCAACTTAAACACATGCAAAATTCTTACATAACTTCTTTGCAAACCTTCTCACGATTTACACAGACCCATTTATGACATGGACTTTCTGACCTGGACATCAGGACTTTCTGACTTGTCCTAAACATTCCTCTTTCCTAAACAACCAGTCATTTTACTTTAGGACAAAAATTTATCATACAAGGTCCTTTCTTGGCCAGGTGCAGTGGCTCATGCCTGTAATCCCAGCACTTTGGGAGGCAGAGATGGGCGGATCACTTGAGGTCAGGAGTTCAAGACCAGCCTGGCCAACTGTGGGAAGTAAAAAAAGTTTATCTTCAAAGTTTCCTTTCTTGTTTAAGAAAAATTCATAAGTGTTAGAAATAATAGTTTGTTTTAAACACCTTCTTCAGAAGCCTTCTTGCCTTTTTGATAGAAGCCCTATCCTATGTAGCTGTTAGAAATGTTTACAGGCACGTAGTACATTCTATGTCCTCGTACTTTAACCAAAATATCTGTGCTGGACGCACTCACAGGTATGTCCCAGCTCGCAGCCTATGTCCCTTCCTCTTTTTTGCTCTCCATTTCCTTTATCTGTTTAGAAAAGTTTCAGGTTATTAGACAATCGGGTTTTAGTTTAGATTATGAGGTCTGGCTCCAGCCAATGGAGATCAGACACAGCAGTAAGGACAACCCCAAATACAAAGAATTAAATATGTCTGCTTTCCTTTGTTCATTGTATTCTTGCGACAAGATTACTAGTGGCAGTATCCTTTCTGCAGGAAGTAAAAAGAATTCCTTTGCTGAGAGATCCTTTGTTCCAGTACTAATTTTTCTTTGCAACACCAAAAAGGTAACTCAGAGAAAAGCAAATTTCAGGACAGGAAATCAGAAGCTGTCCATGCAGGGAAAAAGAATCAATACATGGCAAAAGTACCCCAAGTATTAAACCACAAAGGACTGGCTTTCAAAGTCAGGAATTGAACCCAGGCTGCCATTGTGACAGGACAAAGCCTTAGCAACTGACCTACAGCACAAGGTGACTACTGTTGTTTTTCCAGAAGTTTAGAGCATTTTCAAGCTTGCAAAGGGTTTTAACTGCTCAAGACAATTTTCTAAGACTAGCCATGTTATGATTATGCATCTTTATTTTAATTTAACCATTTTCTTTTCATGGGGTACTCAATTCCAATAGTGATTCAATCTAAATAAAAGCCTGTTAAAGTCCAAATAGTAATTTTCCAGGTTTTTACCATATAAGCAAAAGGTATTTCCAGAAAGGGGTAGAGAAGTCATCTCCATGACAGGCGGCTTTTTAACTCAAGAAGGAAGTTCATAATTTTACTTGCCACCTCCAGAGTTGCCCTTGGCTTTGTTTTCTTGATGACTCCTGTTTGATTTGGAAGCTAGCCAAAGCAGAGAGCCCCCTTTTAGTTTAAGGCCTGATGATCATCAGGGGTTGGGATTCTGTCCCACGAGCCCACTGGCCCTCAGGGCAGTCCGGTTTCCAGTGGCCAGGCTTGTGGTAGAGGGAGCAAGCCATGCGGGATTTTTTCTCATAGGGCCAGTTTGCCTTCCAGTGGCCTGGCCTTCTGCACCGAAGGCAGTTACCTGGAGGTGTGTAGCTGGAGTAGGGGCGGGGGGCTTGCAAAGCAGCCAACAGCTGAGGCTGCTTCTTGTCCCTGCGTTTTTCTTTCTCCTTAGCCCTGTTCTTATTCTGCTCTTGGTTATAAAAGACTGAGGAGACTAATTTGCTGATTTTCTGCCTAGGGGCCATGCTGTATTACAAACGAAAATTCGACATTTCTTTTTGAATCTCTGGGTGACATTTGTCTCAATGTTTTGGGATGCGACCCAGAGGTGTTTGAAGGGATAGAGAGAGTTTGTCCCATGGCGGAAGTGGAAAACGATGATCTGCTGGGGGCTAATGTCTGCTGGGGACACCAACCGCATTCTCTCAGGCACCCCTGTCAGTACCCACCGCCCTCCGCCCCCTGCACCCCCCCCCACCAAGGAAGAGGACTCAACTCACATCTGCTGAAGGATTCCAGTGCACTTTTTTTTTTTGAGATGGAGTCTCGCTCTGTCACTTGG